TTGAAGAACAAGTCCAAAAATATATTGTCGAAGGCTTTCATGGCTGGAATCACTAGGTTCTTGTGGGTTTTTTCGGGCTATAGAGCCATGTTCTAGAGGCATTTCTCCTGACGTTTCGCCTGCATCTATGGCAAGCATCCTCAGAGGTTGAGAAGGTGTGTTGGAAGTAGGAAAAATGGGTTTATATATCTGTGGAATGGCTGGGGTGGGGCAAGGAGCTCTTCCCTGCTGCAGTTAGGTGTGAATGTTTAGCTGATCACCTTCATTAGCATTTGAAGGCCTGCCTGAGCCTGGGAAAATCTGTTGCTGGGAGGTGTTAATCTGTGCCTGGTTTTTCCCTCTCTGTTGTTGTGCTGTTATAATTTTAGATTTTTTTAATACTGGTAGCCAGATTTTGTTCATTTTCATGGTTTCCTCCTTTCTGTTGAAATTGTCCACATGCTTGTGGATTTCAATGGCTTCTCTGTGTAGTCTGACATGGTGGTTGTGAGAGTGGTCCAGCATTTCTGTGTTCTCAAATAATATGCTGTGCCCAGGTTGGTTCATCAGGTGATCTGCTATGGCTGATTTCTCTGGTTGAAGTAGTCTGCAGTGCCTTTCATGTTCCTTGATTCGTGTTTGGGCGCTGCGTTTGGTGGTCCCTATGTAGACTTGTCCACAGCTGCATGGTATACGGTAGACTCCTGCAGCGGTGAGAGGATCCCTCTTGTCCTTTGCTGAACGTAGCATTTGTTGGATTTTCTTGGTGGGTTTGAAGATAGGACTCGAAAACTCTACAAACCCACCAAGAAAATCCAACAAATGCTACGTTCAGCAAAGGACAAGAGGGATCCTCTCACTTCTGCAGGAGTCTACCGTATACCATGCAGCTGTGGACAAGTCTACATAGGGACCACCAAACGCAGCATTCCAAACACGAATCAAGGAACATGAAAGGCACTGCAGACTACTTCAACCAGAGAAGTCAGCCATAGCAGAGCACCTGATGAACCAGCCTGGACACAGCATATTATTTGAGAACACAGAAATGCTGGACCACACCAACAACCACCATGTCAGATTACACAGAGAAGCCATTGAAATCCACAAGCATGTGGACAATTTCAACAGAAGGAAGAGACCATGAAAATGAACAAAATCTGGCTACCAGTATTAAAAAACTCTAAAATTACAACAGCAAAACAACAGAGAGGAAACAACCAGGCACAGATTAACACCTCCCAACAAGAGATTTTCCCAGGCTCAGGCAGGCCTTCAAATGCTAATGAAGGTGATCAGCTGAAACATTCACACCTAACTGCAGCAGGGAAGAGCTCCTTGCCCCACCCCAGCCATTCCACAGATATATAAACCCATTGTCCTAATTCCAACAGACCTCACTACCTCTGAGGATGCTTGCCATAGATGCAGGCGAAACGTCAGGAGAAATGCCTCTAGAACATGGCTCTATAGCCCGAAAAAACCCACAAGAACCTAGTAAGTCCAAAAATATTTGACTTAAAAGTTATTTTACTGTATGTTGCATCTATTATAATATGGTCTTTAGGTTTGCGATCTCAAAACAGAAAGCAACATTTAAAAGTTTCTAGGAATTTAGCAATTCCTAAACATACAATATTGAGCAGTCATTTGTACAAGCAGTATAAATGAACAATTCTCCTAATCCTAGTAGCAGTTCTGTCATATTTCTGCAGCCAAACTGCAAGTCACATGATGAACAATAATGTTTCCCTCACAGAAATCCTCAACTTAATCTACCGCATTTCACTGATACAGGCTTCGGGTGGGAAGCGGAGAGGAGAGAACCTTTTATAAAGTGCAGTTGAATTTAGCATTTAAGAAGATTACTGCATTTATAAATAGCCTGGAAATCCAAAGTCATGGAATGTAATGCACAGAACAGATCAATCAAGTTGTTATCAAACCATCTGGCCCATTTATTTATTGAGGGAAATTGTCATTTAACTCTCTCTTACTATAATGTTTTGATTCGGATATATTTAATACCCCCATACAAAACCACTGGCTGCTGTTAGTACATGTATGTTTTTCACAACTGAGTTGAACAGCAGTCTCGCCATGCAGGGTTTTACTTAGTGGCATGAAATCAATTCTGTTAAGCAGTCAAAAACTGGGCTGGGAAAGAAATGGCTATCCATGGCCTTCAAGAGCTGAGTTATACTTACCTTTACATCAATCCATCCTTTATCAGCTAATTCCTCATTATTTCTCACTATGGTGGCAAGGCTGAAAGGCCCCACAGAAATAATGGGCATTAACAACTTAGTTTAAAACCTTAATAGAGGATCAGCCTTAGTAGATAATTCAAGCATTAATTACACTACCTGGTGTGTTGAAAAGTATCTTAAGTTATGTATTTCCAATTTGTAATCAAAGATTTTGTTTCATGAAGTCTTTCTCAAACTATCTTTTTTGCTAGTTCTTCCCTAAAATAGCAGTCACAAAGGTAAATAAAGGAATGGTGCCTTAAAAATAATTGCATAAGAAATTTGCCATTTTGCCAAATTTGTTAATTTGCCATTTTGTTCTCAGAGCAACATTGTAATGGAGACAACTATCCTGCCAATGCAATGAAACTTTCTTCCCTCCTTCGTTGTTGCTGTGTGCCTTCAAGTTGTTTCTGATTTGTGGTGACCCTGAAGCAACCCTATCATGGGGTTTTCTCAGACTTGAAACATGCCCAAAGCCACCAAGATGTTTACATGGTTCACTGGGAAATTGAACTTGATCTCCAGAGTCACTACCTCTCTTCCCTCCATACCACCTAAAAACTACTTCTAGAACAGTGCCTCCCAACCTGTGGGTCCCCAGGTGTTTTGGCCTACAACTCCCAGAAATCCCAGCCAGTTTACCAGCTGTTAGGATTTCTGGGAGTTGAAGGCCAAAAACATCTGGGGACCCCAGGTTGAGAACCACTGTAGTTTCTAGAAGGTTTCTCAGTGCAAGCAGGGAAGGTGAATTGCTTTCCTACTGGGTCTCTGCAGGAGTTCTAGCAACAGAACCATCTCTCTGGATATCACATTCAAATCAAAACAACTAAATGTTGTTGGTTGGTTTGTACCACAAAGGTCCCTTGATAGATCTGGACCAAACCTGGCACACATACTCTTCATTACCCAAGGCTATCAGTTGCTATGCACATTACTTCCAGTATCAGAGGCAATATACCTCTGAATGCCAATTGCTGGGAACATAAGTATGCTTTGACCTGCCTTATGGCTATCCCCAAATATTTCAATGGGGAGTGTGGAATCAGTATGCTGAACTAGGTAGGCTTTTAAACTGACTCAACAGGGCTCCTCTTTTGCTCATACATTCATATGCCACATGTTCCTTTTTTGTATATTGTAAGCTTTACCATTTTGCTGCTCATAGCTCTGGTCAATCTCCCTCAAAACCAAAAGACAAGTGAGACAGGATATATTTTATAAAATTTAGATCATTTGAGCCCCCCCCCCCCCCCAACACACTCTTGAAGAGAATGGAATGAAGGCAATGATATGCTAGCCCTTGATCTCACAAGTATGACAATTACAATAAGCAATGCAATACAATGCTCTGGAGGCTAAGCTGGGAAAATATGCATGGCGAAAGAAATGAAATCTGTTTGAAAGTAGTAAAATATACTTGCATATACATTGGGGAAGTGTGCCTTTAAGAACTCTGAGAGGAAAGGAAACCATTTATTAGCAACAGTGGGATCATAACACTTTTCATCTTGTGATATGTGTGGTTTCCAGGTGCTGTAAAACTATCCCCTTTGTTTCTCTTAGAATTATAACTATTGGAGATCCTCTTTTGAATAAGTATGATAGGATTCTGTATATAAACAAAACAAAATGCCACACAACTTCCATATAAACTTCTCAATAAGAAATTCTAATTAGCCAACTCAATTCCCTGAAATTTTCTTATTAAATCATTTTTTTTCTTTTTATCCCCTACAAATCCATGATAATTACAAAATGTAATTAAATATTAGTGTTGTTATTGTTAACCTTCTCCTAACACCAATGTAAGTTTGAATTATATTTATTGCTGGTGGTCAGATTTTTAGAGTCATTCTTTTGAAAGAGTAATGGCAGAATCAGGCTTTTTTTCGTGGCAGGAGCAATTTGAGAAAGTGCAAGTTGCTTCTGGTGTGAGAGAATTGGCCATCTGCAAAGGCCTTGCTCAGGGGACGCTGGGATGGTTTTTTTTTGATGTTTTACCATCCTTGTGAGAGGCTTCTCTCATGTCCCCACATGGGGAGCTGGAACTAACAGAGAGAGCTCCTCCACGCTCTCCTCAGATTCAAACCTCCAACCTGTCGGTCTTCTGTCCTGCCAGCACAAGGGTTTAACCCATTGCATCACCAGGGGCTCCAGAATCAGGCTAAGTGTACCAGATTATTAAATGTGTGTTGTCTCCATGAACTGGAAGTTTCTGTTGAAATGTGGACCCATACAAAATTGCTAGATGTAAATATACACTAAACCTATCACACAGACTTTTTGTACCTGGTTCATTGTGACTGAACAATTTCCTTAATAGTTCTTATCTTGTACAAAAACTAAATTTCACCCAACATTAAAACTGATGAGAGCTATTTACTCTCGATTGCATGAACTACTACGAATAGGCAAATGTTAAAAGAACACATTAGCTCAATATTATATTCCCTTAGCCCAACAGATGCGTCATTAGTCAATCCATCAAGTAAGGTAGTATTGATAAAACTTTCTGTGGTGTTTATCACCTCTTCCGAAAGGCCCTTCTGGAGTAGAAATTTAGAGATAAGGCTGTTGAACTTGTTCTCTGTGGTAGATTGTGGTTCTCCAGTTGGAAAAGGGCTGTAAGTTGTGAGATTTAACTCCTCTGGATCAAGACAGAAGCCTTCAGCTGTTCTCTCAAAGACAACATCAGTTAAGTCAAGCCCAGCTACAGAGGAAGGGGCGACACAAGGAATGTCTCTCACAAGCCTGTAACTTTCCATCCACTCTTTTAGCCATTCAATCCGGCAGTCACACTCCCAGGGGTTACGGAAAAGATAAAGTCTTCCTATAAAGTAGACAGGTTGGAAGACTGAGAAAGGCAAGGTGGTTAAGTTGTTGCTGTTCAAGTGCAAAGACACCAAGCTTGTTAGGTTTTCAAAAGCACCTTCTTCAATATAGCTGATCCGATTTCTGTCCAAATACAAAACCTCCAGTTCAAACTGGTCCCGGAACCAGGTACTGGAGACGTTCCTCAGAAGGTTACCACCAAGGTTCAACATCTTGAGACGTAGTAGACCATCAAAGGAATTCTCAGGGAGGTCACTGAAGACGTTGTCATTTAAATAAAGGTACTCCACTTTCTTACAATCCTGAAAAGCTCTGTCATGAATTACACTGATTTTGTTGTCTTGTAGATTGAGATATTTTAGTCGGGACAGGCCCAGGAGAGAATTATATGCCACGGCTTCTATCTTGTTTTTCTCCAGGTATACATGGGTCAAATTCTCCATCCCTCTTATAGCTCCTGGAATCCTTCGGAAGTTGTTCTGGAAGCAAAAGAGTTCCCGAAGGGCTGGCACTTCTATAAAAATCCTGTCTGGGATGTTAAAAAGGTTGCAGTCTGCTAAATCCAGCCTCACAAGTTTCTTGAGAGACGTGAAAGTCCTGGTATGCAGATACCGAATGTATTCATTATGGGCCATTTTTAGCTCCGTCAAGCTAGCTAGCCCTTTGAAAGCTCCAGGAGTGATAAAGGAGATGTTGTTGTGGCTTAATGAGAGCAGTTTGAGGGATGGGAGGGTACCAAACGCCCTCTCGGCGAGGAATTTGATGCTATTTTTATCCAGGTTAATAGAGTAGGCCTCACAGGGGAACTCGCGGGGGATCTGCGTGAGGCCAGCACGGTCACAAAGAATGGAGCAACTCCTCTCTTGAGTGCAGACGCAGCTGGTGGGACAGGAGCGGACACAGGCCCAGACAGAGTGGACAGGGCGAATGCAAAGCAAGACTGGCAAGGGAGGCACCAAGGAAAGGCAGGGAGAGAGAACAGAGATTAGTGAACACTACTGATATCAAAACACACAATTCTGAATTATGCAGGCTGGGCCAAAAGTCACAAAGGAGTCTCAGTATTTAATGACTCCTTTCATTTTGTTTTTAATTATAGTATATATGGGAAAAATAACGTGTGAAAAATCAAATCTCATAAATGGCATCCAATACCATAGCATTATATATGGTATATATCAGACCCTTGGTGACTTTTGGACCGCTCTGTATATGCCACTCACAAATCTAGTAACTAGCAACCCAAATGTTGTTTTTTGCCGTTTTACTTATTATTGTTGGAAGATCCTATTAAGTTTGAGGAGTCATAGAGTTGGAAGAGAATCATAGAGTTGTAGAGTTGGAAGAAACCACATGGGCCATCTAGTCCAACCCCTTGCCATGCAGGAAAAGCACAATGATTGTATATAAAACATACATGTTTTAACCTCTTAACACTTTCGACATCAAGTCCAGTATCTTTGGGATCTGTCAGGCAGAAAAAAATGCCAGCATTTACAAAATCAGGGAGTTTTTTTCTATCCCCCGGCAGCATTTTTTTCCCTTTGGCTGTGAGCCATTTGTACAGGATGTAACTGGAATTAAGCCTGAGATTGAAGAGAACAGAGAAGAGAACAAGCAAGCTTATCATGAGCGGTCTGGGCTAAATCCAATTGTTAGTCTCACCCAGAGTAGACCCACTGAATGAATGAATAGGACTTAACACTTATGTAAGACCCATTGCTTCATGGGATCTATTCTAGTTGGGACTAACCATTACATTTAGACCACTGCAAGCAGGGTAACCAGAGGATGATGTTAGTGTTGACATGTTGGAGGGATAAAGGGCTGCTCCCATTTCCCATGATATGGGAACTATGAAGTCCTTTTTCTTTCTTTCTTTTCTTTCTTTTTCCCAGCCAGTAAAGAAGATACAGAAGAGTAATTTGAGCAGTAAAGTTTTTGAAGTGTATATATCCCTTCAAGGCTGTTCTCAGAGCTTTTAGGTTATGGACACTTAATCTACTGAAGTGGGTCCTGGTATGCCTCCTACTTAAGAGCATAGGAAATGCCATCCTAAAGCAGCCCATCTTCCACTTTATCTCTCTTTGGAACAGAGTGACCAAAGTTGTGAAGGCAACTAAAGGTACTAAAATAATGTTAGTATCATGAATGGCTGTGCAGAGGTGGAATGTCAGGAGGTGCTGCTGGTAATACAACCAAGTAACAAGCAATACCAGCTGAAATTACCTCTTCTGCACAGCCATTGAAGGTGCAGGAGCCCTCTCCAGTTTTCAATCTAGCAACCTAAGCAAGAAGCTCTACTGGCTCATTGCAATCTACCTTCAGACACCTTTGATTTAGGCAACCAGCTCTCTCAAAGGTTCACATTCTGTCAAAAACATCAGGCAGATCCTGACATGAGGAACACATTAAATTTAACGCCTCCATCTTTAAACATCAGCTATAAATCACTGGATGGCTGATATTTCAGGTGCTATTTCAAGTCACTTATGGTCTCCCCACACCCTCATGATGTGGGGGAAAGTAGGGGAAACCCTTAATAAAGCATGTACTATGGCGCTTAAAAGGTATATTATTCCACCTCTTTCGCTGTAATTATATAAAATTGAATAAAAATCTTTATGAAAAAAAAAGGTGTGCATCTGTGTTTGTATGGCAATTATACTTTCGGAAGGTATCCTCCTTCCTGCATAGGAACACTAGTCAGTTGTTCAGACTATCATATTATGGATCAGTGATAGCCTCCCAAAATTCAGACAGAAAACTTTCCTAGCACTAGCTGGACACAATAGGGATTGAACCGGAGACAGTTCATATACAAAATATGCATTCTCCAGTTTTGTTTTGTTTTTTTATTTCAGCCCTTCCAAAGCAGTCTTGTATGAGAGTAGAAATTTCTGTATTCCTGTTTAGGTCCAGGCTGTTCCCAATTTGAGCCTGCCTAGACCCTGAGATCTACATGAGAGGTCTTGCTTTCAGTCCCACCACCTTCACAGGGATAGTTGGTATGGACACAAGAGAACTCAAGCAAAAGTTCTAGAGTATGTGGTGGAATCTCAGTTTCAGGAGTTCCTGGATGTGGTGGATTATCTAGACCCATTCCAGTCTGGTTCAGATCTGGTTATGGGAAAGAGAAAGCGGTGGTTATCTTGAAAATTGATTGGGAGAGTGCTTCCCTGATGGGTCTGTTGGATCTTTCAGCAGCTTTCAATACCATCAACCATGGGGTCTTTCTGAACTGCCTCTCCCAACATGCTGTTTATACAACCCATTGCCTATGGCAGTGGTTCTCAACCTGTGGGACGCCAAGTGTTTTGGTCTACAGCTTCCAGAAATCTCAGCCAGTTTACCAGCTGGGAGTTGAAGTTTCTGGGAGCTGAAGGCCAAAACATCTTGGGACCCACAGGTTGAGAACCACTGCTCTCAAAATGGGTGCATATTGGATGCAAGCTAGCCTTAATGAACATCAGATCTATAATAATCCACATTAAAAATCTCATGTCTGCACCATTACAACATCATATATTGTCTGTTAAATATAAGTAGTAAGCAAAGTGTGACCTCCAGAGGGGATTTTTTTGTCATTGCATTTCTTTGTCATCCCAATGTACGTCATCATATTGGATACACAACGCCGTTTTCTTTCTCTCCTTGATAAGTTACCACTAACCAACATCCCAGTTTCAACATGACAAAAACCTAACAATTCTGACTCTTATTATATGTATCTTTCTTTTCTTTCTCTTTTTTGTGCAAACTATGGTTAAACAACATCCAGTTTGGAAATGTTGCTCTGTAATGGAGAATAGTGAACTAGAAACCCAACAGTTAAATACAATTGCCTGACTGCTATGCAGGAAAAACACAAGAAATAATGGGCACAAAGAACAAAACACATTTTCCTGTTTTTCTAATCAATACAACGGACGAAAAAAGAAAATAACCATTCATTATAACAATGAACAGTTTGTCATATGTTAGATAATTTCAGCTATTGTTACTGTATTATCACTGACAAATAATACTGTTTTGTACAGTTATAATGCAAACTTCAGTTCTATATTTGATCAATTGCTTCCAATTGAATATTTAATGTATATGTGACAAACTTTGTCAAAATTGGAAAAAACATTAAATATACCAGATAGATTTTCCAACAAGCCCAAACTGCATATTGATTGTTTTAGAAATTGTATGGTATGTCGCAAAAGAAAAGGTTTACTTACCACTTAAAATGATGACAAACATTACCCTGATAAATTGCTAGTGGCATCTCAGGTCTGGTAAATTGTCTTCTCCAATCTAGGATGAGATCAAAGCATGGAAAAACACTATTCAGAGGTAATAGGTAACTACAATTTGCCATCATTTTAAACTGCTGTCTAGTAATTTAAAATGTTCTTTTCCCTTTCCAGCTTTAAACTTCTACTAATCTCTTCAATTTCTTTCATTTATTTTCACTAACCTCTTGAGCAGATATCTTCCCTTTGACGATAAAACAAACCTATCTTTTACATGTCTATTCAAGGATAAAATGTTTTATGATGATCCTAATAGCATCTGTTTCCAAACAACTGGGCTGAAGATTTCAACCTTTAAATGTGTTTTCAGGAAACACATGCCCAAACAGCATTGCAACACACCATAGCCCAGCCAGATATTCATTCAGTATGATAGAAATAATGAAAAAGCATAGCATGGGAAGGACTGTCCGAGTCTTTTCCCCCAGCAGTTTGTGAATGGACTACAAAAGATGAGAAAAATCAAAGTGAAGTAGAGAAAGAAAGGAGAACAAGTCCTTCCTTACCTGTTAGGAAGATGGCTGTATTTGCTCTCCTTTGTTCTTTGGAAGCATGCAGTTCTTTGTCTTGCAGCTTCTCTGAAGAGCTCACATTTTCCCCACTCCGAAAAGCTATCATTTAATGGCAGGGAAATCCTCTCTATCAGGGGCGGATTAGCCGAGATGGGAGAATTTGTCTCTTCCATAAAGCTCCTGGATTGCTGACAAATCCATCAGAAAATATCAGCCAAAAGCTGGCCTCCAGCCACTCCTCGGCATTACTAGGAATCATAAAAAAAAAACAAAGCCTTCGGTCCCAGTGCCTCTTACATAATGGGAGAAGAACACAGCTTAGTGTGAATAGCTTGTGATTTTAGCAGGACCAGTCAGAAGGGACCCACACACCTGCCTCCTTCTCCTCATCAGGAAAACTTCACAATAGTGAGTCACCTGCCATCATCTGAACCTCAGGACGTCATCCTTTTTCTCAATGGGTTCTCATTTGACAGGGGGAACCAGACTAAATACTTTAAAGCACCAGATCCTATCTGATCTTGGAAGCTAAGCAGGGTCATCCCGGGTTAGTACTTGGATGGCAGATGTAGAATATGGAGGGCCGACTGTATAAAACATTCAATAAAATAAAGCCCAGGTGCTGTAGACACTATTTTAGAGGAAATAACTGGCAAAACCACCTCAAGGTATTTCTTGCCTAAGAAAATCCTATTAAATCCATGGTGTTGCCATAAGTCAACAGGTGATTTTGAAGGCATATACCCACAGGGCAATCTTTAAATTACTATTAATGTGTTTATTTGCCTATCTTTTCTTTCTCATAGTGTGGAGTTGGAGAAAGGTTATGTGCTATATAAAACAAAAAAACATGTAATAGTCACTGTTCTGCCCCCAGGCTATATTAACTATTTGAAGGTGAACTGGGTGCACAGAGAACATGTCAGAGACTAGATCGTTGAATCAAACAAGAATGTACCACTGACAAGAATTTTAGACTTTTTCTCTCTCCTCCTGAGTCTTACTACAAAGTCTTTATGAGGAGCAGTAAAAACTTTGAGAAATATGACACCGTTCTGGCCGAATGGAGGCTCTTGAATTTTTATTACTTCTATTGTCTCTTTCTTGTGTGATCAACAGCTGTCTCTAAGATGGTCCCAATATTTAACTCTGATTGGACATGAATACAGCTCTGATTGGATGTGATTGGATGTACTATTTGTAGACTTTCTGGCCTTCCTCTCACCAAAAACGTTGACTCTTCCAAGAAGGAGAAATGCCTTGCCTAAGGCTCCACCACTGAGAGGATTCTTAAAGGGGCAGGGTAACGCAGGCTTCAAAGGGAAATAAGCTATCTGGACTGACCCCCAAAATCCTAATTCCTTCTAACTAAAAAGGGCTGAAATAGGGGTAAACAATGAGAGTTCTTATGGAGACACAAGAGTCACTGAAAAAAACACAATGTGGAAGGTGCTTGGCGTCTGCTGCAATTTGGTTCCTGGATCCCCCTCTGTAGCAATTGGCCAGCTTGATTAGCATTTCATGGCCTAACAGTTTTCAAGGTCTGGCTTGAAATAAATAAATAATAAATAAATAAATAAATTCCAGCTTTTTCTGGAAGGTCATTTTAAGAAGGTAATGCTGAGGAATTCTTGGTTTGTACCACAAAGGTCCCTTGATAGATCTGGACCAAACCTGGCACACATACTCTTCATTACCCAAGGCTATCAGTTGCTATGCACATTACTTCCAGTATCAGAGGCAATATACCTCTGAATGCCAATTGCTGGGAACATAAGTATGCTTTGACCTGCCTTATGGCTATCCCCAAATATTTCAATGGGGAGTGTGGAATCAGTATGCTGAACTAGGTAGGCTTTTAAACTGACTCAACAGGGCTCCTCTTTTGCTCATACATTCATATGCCACATGTTCCTTTTTTGTATATTGTAAGCTTTACCATTTTGCTGCTCATAGCTCTGGTCAATCTCCCTCAAAACCAAAAGACAAGTGAGACAGGATATATTTTATAAAATTTAGATCATTTGAGCCCCCCCCCCCCCCCTTCCCCCCCTCCCCCCCCCCCCCCCCCCCCCCCCCCCCCCAACACACTCTTGAAGAGAATGGAATGAAGGCAATGATATGCTAGCCCTTGATCTCACAAGTATGACAATTACAATAAGCAATGCGATACAATGCTCTGGAGGCTAAGCTGGGAAAATATGCATGGCGAAAGAAATGAAATCTGTTTGAAAGTAGTAAAATATACTTGCATATACATTGGGGAAGTGTGCCTTTAAGAACTCTGAGAGGAAAGGAAACCATTTATTAGCAACAGTGGGATCATAACACTTTTCATCTTGTGATATGTGTGGTTTCCAGGTGCTGTAAAACTATCCCCTTTGTTTCTCTTAGAATTATAACTATTGGAGATCCTCTTTTGAGGATTCTTACTGGCTTCTTACTGTCTGGAGGAATCCTTTGTTGGGTGGTGATTAGTTGATCCTGAACCTTGAAAACTGCTAGGCCATTAAATGCTAATAAGGTGGCCAATTGCTACATTCACACCTACCTCCAACAAACAAGAGTTTTTTCTCCCACCCTGGACATTCCACAGATAAACAAACTTATTTTCCTAGTTTCCAACAAACCTCACAACCTCTGAGGATGCCTGCAATAGATGCAGGTGAAACATCAGGAGAGAATGCTTCTGGAACATAGCCATACAGCCTGGAAAACACACAACCTAGTGATTCTGGCTATGAAAGCTTTCAACAATATCATTGGATCATTTGAAGTGTTTGTCCATTTAATGGTCCACCTCAAAAAGGGGTACAATTCCAACGGAATGCAGTGTGGCAATAGGTAATGGATCCTTAATGGGTTTAATGGGTTAGCTTTGGCTAATACAATAGGGTTAGTCCAGTGTACACAATGGATATTTGGGGATGATGACCATCTCAGCAGGTGAAGCTGGCTTAAAGTATAGGTGCCAAATCTTTCCCACAGATAGCCCCAACCTTATCAATGGGAGGTAGAAACAGACCCAGGGAGCTCTAACATGCATCTATTGAGTAATTCCTACCTCACCCCCTGACTCCCAGGTCATTCTGACATGATTAGGGAAATTAATAAAGAAGGGGTTTGGGGTGAAACCAAGCAGCATTCCAGAGGCAAATCATAAACAATGTTAATGTAAGACAAAGGTGTCGGCTCACTAGGCTTTGTGGAGCCATGGTTTCTGTTTCATATAACACTACAGTATTTAAAATGGAGAACAATTTTCACCGACATAAACTTACCAATATTTCAATGGGAAATGTGTGGGCTGATGAGATGGTCAAGTTAATTAGGATTGCTGTTGTTGTGTGCCTTCAAGTTTGTTCAGACTTAGGGTGGCCCTAAATCTAAAGTTTAGGGTGGAGGCAGGCATTAACCTGTTCTAGAGCTAAAATGTAGGGGTCTTTGCCAGGAGGCAGAGACCAATTAGACTCATCAAAGAGTTCTTTTTTCCCTGGCGAGACAGAGAAGCATCCCATATTTTTCCCTGATTTCCCAATGAAAAGTCTCCCCGGTTGAAGAAAAGCCATCGAAGTTTAATGTGATTCAGCTGAAACCGGATGCAAAGCTGCAATCATTCGCCAAGGTAAGCATGAGGAGATTACACCAATGCAGTCATATTTATAGTAAATTCAAATTTGCAGAGTTCAAACTCCCCGCCCTGGCTTCCCTGTTGTTCCCTGCTGTGATTGGGTGATGGGCGGACACCTGGGAGGCGGCCCTCCTGCCCCGGCACCTCTGGACCAATCAGGAAGCTCCAGTGGTCCGTAGGATCCAATGGGGAGACCTCTGCCACCTGGTGGCGACAGCCAATCAGGAGAGATGGAGGCGGGATGATGGAACACAAAGGAATCTGGGAAGGAATCTTTAAACAAAGGAATGCCATGTGCTCTTGTGAGACAAAGAGCCCATACAGGGCTGCTTTGAGTGTTGTGAATCAACATGTGTCCTTCCTGGCTGTGAGACAGGGGAATAATGCCTGGGGTTAATGCTATCTTCCCATCCAGGACCCCAGAGAGAGATTAATAATACCAATTATAAAAAGCAGACGATATCAGGACACAGCATGAATTCATAAGTTGTCTTGAAGAAAGTTCATGGGTAGAGAGCGAGTCCTTGAAGAGAGTGAAGTCCAGGAATGTAGCAGAATTCAAAAAGCCACCAAAGGGAGTCTATGGAGTTCCACTGGGCCAAGACGCAAAGCCCTGCAGCGCTGGGATGGAAGCCGGTCCCATGGTCCTTGGAAAACTACAGCTCTCGAGAGAGAGGCAGAGACCCCAAGGTCTAGCCATTCCCAAAGTTTCATGGGGTCCTCATTGTTGTTAAGGCCTTGACAAATTGACCAAGACTTAACCCCTATTGTGCAGTCTGGTACCTTTGTCCTTTGCAGAACTATAAGTCACCATCCCTTGTTAGGGGGGGGTCATGCTCGGCTTCAAACCCCTGCTCTGTTATTGAAGACTCCCAACCCTAATAAAAAGAAGATATAGTTTGGTATCCACAGGAATTAGAGTTTCCGAAGGACAGAAGGCCAGATGAATGGAAACAGCTCCTGTCCACACAGCCTCCCTCAAGCCTCTCAGGACCTGCGGCAACCCAACTCCATAGCCTTTGAACCCCTACACATGTACACCCACCCCCAGTGTGGCTGTTGGGGGTCTCTGTGTGGGAAGTTTGGCTCAATTCTATTGTTGGTGAGGTTCAGAATGCTCTTTGATTGTTCAGCCTGAGCAGGTCCACAGCAGCGAATCTCCAGCTGGAGATTGCCCCATGATCATTCTCTCTCCCTTTTCCCCCCAGTCAAGCTACAATCCTGGCAGTCATTATGTATCAAGAACACCTCCGTTTCCAAACCCCTGCTACAATGAGCCTCCAGTGGTGCAGTGGGTTAAACCGCTGAGCTGCTAAACTTGTTGACTGAAAGGTCACAGGTTTGAATCCAAGGAGTGGTGTGAGCTCCCACTGTCAGCTCCAGCTTCTGCCAACCTAGCAGTTCAAAAACATGCAAATGTGAGCATATCAACAGGTACTGCTTTGACGGGAAGTAACAGCGCTCCATGCAGTCATGCTGGCCACATGACCTTGGAGGCATCTATGGACAACGCCAGTTCTTTGGCTTAGAAATTGAAATGAGCACCAACCCCCAGAGTCAGACATGACTGGACTTGATGTCAGGGGAAAACATTTACCTTTATTTATTTTCATTTTTCTTTTTTCCCTATGCAAATATGCGCATGTGCATATTTGGGGTGTAGGGGATAAAATATAAATAAATAAGGCAGATAACCCTTCCCGCCTTATGCTCAGCAATG